ATGATTCACTAAAGAACAAAATAAAAAGAGGACTTGATCGAAATGAAGTTGAGGACTTTGGCAAGTTGCTTATAGAAATCCCTGAAATAAAAAGATTTTTTGATTATCTAAAAAATAACTAGACAAATATAAGCAACAAAGCTTGAAGTGATTGATTGATTGATTGTATATTGTTTAACGTCCCTCTTGAGAATTTTTCACTCATATGGAGACGTCACCGATGCCGGTGAAGGGCTTCAAATTTAGACCTATACTCGGCACTCAGGGCCATTGAGCAGTGAGGGTTCTTTATCGTGCCGACGCCTACCGTGACACGGGACCTACGTTTTTAAGGTCATATCCGAAAGACCCGTGACTTTCACTTCTAGTGCCGAGCGCTTGGCGAAGGAACAGTCACTACCTATGTTTACGTCTTAGGTATGACGCGGCGCCGCGATCGAGAATCGAACCCGGGCCTCCCGATCACGAAGCGAACGCTCTACCACTAGGCTACCGTGACCGGTAGCTTGACGTGAATGATTAGTTTTTAAAAACTACATGTATAACAGTTACTATATAGTGTTTATATATTATATTTTTTAATTTTTATAAATGTGATATTGAAAATTGATATCAATGATGGGTTCAATTATTTTCAAAAGTAAACAACCAAACAGCTTAGATACTGACTATTACTGTTTTATACCTGCATTAAGGTGTTGTCTTTAAATACACGCTCCTTCACATTTTGCAAAGAAAACAGTACTTATATGTGTCAAATAGAGTGTAATTCCCAAGTGAAAATGCTGTCACTGAAAGTTTTTTTATGTAAGAAATTTCAAGAATTACAGAAAATTGCATAATTAAAAAAAACAAACTACAAACTCTTTGATGGGATGGACAATGAAGATGAACAAAAGAGTCATCGTATGAATGATCTTATTCCTGTTTCCAAATATGAGACACTCATTTTATACCCTCCAGTATTAAACTCGGTGTTCACTTGGAATCAGCTGCTTTTCAACATCCTGGCTCCGGACAAACCTTTTTGACATAATGGCTCCGGAAGCGTTTTTCCATCTTTGGTTCGGAGACTTTTGCTGCTTTAAGAAAAACTTCTAGTACTGTAACAAATACATTTTGTGTTGAATCCTTTGTTTGTCTGTTTTGTTTATGTCACTTGATGTAAATTTTATTAAAAATGTGATTTTTTTTTTTAGAAAAGGTAAAAGCAAAATTACTCGCAATTGAAACTTTATGATGAATTCATTGTCAAAACAACAAATATTATTTTCTTGCATATCTTTTTAAATGAAATAAAATCCATGCCTAAATGACAACTTTTGAAGTTAATGAGTTTGTGCCAATTTTGGTATGAAAAACCCTTTCCAAATACACTTGTTTTTTTTTTCTTTTTTGAAATCTTCTAGAACCGAACATAGGGTTGGACTTGCGTCACCCTTATAGAAATTGTTTTACCATTATCATTTTTGGATTGCACTTGATACATGTATGTGCATCATTATATCAGTTTTGAGTAGGAATTTATAGTGTGTTTTAAATGAATTATCATCATTTAATGAAGATGACAGAAACTATAATAGGCGTTAAGTACATTGATTCTAATAATGAGATGTCATTATATGCATAAAATATTCTGAAATGCGAATGGTTTAGTTCCTATAGGTAATGACTAGATGCTATGGCGTAAAAGAAGTCGAACATGAGTTATCGTTCATATAACGAGTTATCGTTCATAAGATGCGTAATACGTCATCATAGAGATCTATTCACTCTTACATGGATTTTTCCACATGTGTTAAAATAAACAAAAATAAAATAAATATTCTTTAATCATATTTATTCGATTGGTAATTTATATTTATTTCATATGTAATTTACAATGGGGTTATTATATATAAATCCGTATGCCGAAAAATGGAAATATCAGTATATATAAACAATTTATCAATATAAATTAATCATCAAACATGGATTAATTATAGATAATCGTGGATTGATTTTAAGAAAAATAAAAGGAGTTGAGGTATAGTACTTGATATATTTTCTTTCTATATATTTATTTGTATTTCGGTTAATGCAGTTTGGTTGTTATGTGTATTGTGAATGGAGAATGTACAGGGGGGGAGGGGGGTTAATCCTACTGGAGACAGGCATCTATCGTTAAATGTGGTCATGTAAGAAACGAAAACCAAACGTGTTTAAATGCTACATTAAGATCCTTGCTCCAATTTTTCACTCATGGGAACACTAACAATTGCCGTTGGAAAACTGCTCGACACCCTGGGTCATTGAGCAGTTAGGGACCTTTTTCGTGCCAGCACCAACAGCGACAGGGAGGGGTGGAGCGGTTGTTTGTCAGAGTTAAGGAGCCAACAAGCACACTAAAATTATTGAATTATTAAATCTTATGCATATATTGTAAAGAAAAGGGGGCCTTGGTCCCCTGCACAGTGAGGGACCTTTTTCGTGCCAGCACCAACTGCGACAAGGGACCTCGGTTTATACGGTCTCATTGGAGGACCGGTCTCCACGTCCTTCAGAGGGATTCAAACCTGCAACACAAGGATTATCTCCTTAATCCGCGACTTCAAAGTAGACTCTTTTACTACTATTTCACACGGCGACGCAGATTTCAGTGGCGAATCCAGGAATCTTGAAAAGGGAAAAGGGGGGTGGGGGTGCTGTTGTTTATCAGAGTTAAGAGTTTGTCAGTGTTAAAATATGCAGAAATATAATGAATATTTTTTGATAATATCTATTCGATTGGTAAAATACATTTTATTAAAAGTTATTGAATTATTAAATGATTTGTATATATTCGACAGAAAAGTGGGCCGGGGTGGGGGAAGGGGGGGGGGGTGCATACCTGTAAACTAATCCGCCAGTGTAATTGAATGACTATTATACTGAAGTTGTGAGATAGAAATAATTATTTTCTTATTTTAATTAGAAACTTATACCTATACAACAACCACTAATAAGAAATCTGGTATTGTTTCACATGAATATCCAGGTTAGCGATAAGACTTAATTTCTCACAAAACTCAAGTTTTTTCCCCCGAGGCATATCGTTACGCAATAGAGCAAAGTTCTATGGGCTGGCCTGCACATGTTTTTATTTAAGATATTGTAAAAAGTTATTTGATTTTCAATGTAAATATTTGAATAAACTATATCTTTATTAAGTTATATACAAAAATGACTCCTTTACCGCAGACACTTTGAGAAATAATAAATTTTCTTCTTTTCATCAAATGCAGATAACTCTTCATAAACGTTTAAGGTGGAATGTCACACCAACTTTTTATTTTATAGATCTTTAAGTCATCCTTTTTAAACAATGGTTTCAGCACTGAAAGGCTGATATTAGCTCTTGATTATTTATATTAATTTTTTGGAGTTTGACCCATTTGTCATGAAAATTTTAAACTTATTCTTTGGCCATATCTTTTGAACAGTAGATGCCAAGACATTTATACTTCACATATGTAATCTTTTTTGAAAGACCGTTCATTGGATACCAACAGCCTTGATCCTTTGACCTTGACCTTGTAGATTTCTGTACTTGTGAAGAAACTTCAACCTTGGCTATAACTTTTGAACGGTAGGGGATAGGACTTTCATACTTCATATACATGATCCTTGTGAGAAATACACCGATCCATTTTGCATCGATAAGCCCCGCCCACCTTAGTGACGTCTTAGCTACGCTTCCGGGTCGGACATTCCATAGTAAACATGGCGGGTGAAATCAACTTAGATTTCATCCCGTCGGACATTTCACTCGATTATTTTAAAAATATTGTATTGTCAAAACGTTCTAAAGAAAGGGGTTATAATTTCTTTATCAATGGCTACATAAATGCGTTGAAACTTTTCAAATCTAATGACACTTCAGTAGATATATCCGCAAAATGCTTTCGCTCAATGCGTAAAAGTGAAGCCCCGCACAAGATCAACATGACGATTACAACTTCGGCAATCACAGAGAGTCTCTGTACCTGTAAGGCTGGGTATGTACATTAAATGATTAATTTACGTAATTTAAAACTAAGAATAAGAAATAAAAATCGATATAATGAACATGAATTGATGTATCACAGACACAGGGAAGGCCTTTACTATCAATGTTGTTTGAATATTTTCGTTCAAGTCCACTTTCTTCCGTACTTTTTTCACGGTATGGTAGAGTCTTTCTAACCCATATTATGCATTCTTTATATATTAAAATGGTAAATGCATAAACCCATCTCGTTATTTTATCACCCCCCCCCCTCCTTATCTCAGATGGGTAGTAAACGTCAGAACAAATTTTCAGTCTCTACCCATCTCGCTTCGATTACCCCCCCCCCTGGTTCGTTTTAAAACGTTTAGGCGTGTAGAGTTTGAGATTTATATATAAATATTATAAATACATGCTTACAAAGTACAATTATATATTTGTTTCTTAATTCAGAATAAGTGGTACTTGTTCCCGTGCAGTTGGTGTACTGTACACCATTGTACATTATAAAAACATGGGCTTGACAGAAGTGCCATCTGCATTGGCGTGCACTAGTCTGCCACAGCAGTGGCACAAACCTAGAGGTCCAAAGATACTTCCTGAGCCTGTGTCAGCTATGGTATTTGCCAAACCAAAACAAACACCCCGTAAAAAGAGGCCAGTCCATAGCACCATGCCCAAGATGAGGTATTATAAAGTACTTCTATATAAATACATGTATGTATATTTTATTCCTATGTATACCAGTCTGAATACCCCACTTTCTTATAGAAAGCATTTTTTTCTCTGAATTTCAAGCATTCCAAGCATTGACTTTAAAGAAATAAAGAAACTGAAGACAGATCCTTCTGCTGAGGGCACACCCCTGTCATACTTACTACAGGAAGAACTTCATCTTACACAGACACCTCTGGGTGATGTACAGCAGGGATCAATGCTCCCATATCAGGTACTAAATATTAACAAGATTTGAATAAAAAAGAAACACGAGTAATATATTCCCTTTTTATTTATTTATTTTTTTTTATTTTTTACACTTTTACTAAAGTGTCTTGAAAATTTGTCAGTATTGCTGCAACAAACCAGTGTGCATTGATACATTTAAACATACTTACAGGAATTTTTCTCTTTAGTAACTTAAAACATTTAATTTGATTTATTGCTCGTTCAATATGTATCCTATGAGATGCAATTTGTCTAGTAAGATTTACTTCACCTGCACTAAGTGATTTTGCACTTGATGCTAAAGGGGGATATTTAACCTTAGGTCTAGTAGAGCCAACTCCTTTTCAATAAGGAAACCTTTGTCTGCCATTAAGGCATCATTAGACAAGATAAATTCTTTTTCTTTCAAGTGCCTTAAAAAGTCATAAAAACCACACTGTTCCATAATATCATTATCAGAAATACTTCCAGAATACAAATCTGACACAAATAAAACTGAACCCCTAGGGTCACATACAACAAGACCTTTCAATGTATTAGAGGATTTGTAGTCTGAGTAACACTGACTTTGTTGTTTCAGAGATGATGGCTTCTCTGTCTTCAATTCAGTACAATCTAAAATGGCTAAACAAGTTGGAAATTCTATTTTAAATGATTCTGGCATATTATCTACAATGACATTTCGATGAGGCCAGTAGCTTAGTGAGCCTAATCTTAAATACATATACTTGGCCACTCCATTTACAACTGTTGACACTGTCTGAACTTTTACATTAAATCTAAATGCCAGATCTTTAACATGTAAACCATTTCTAAGTCGACACAAATACATAAACACTTGTTGTGACAAAGGAAATCTGTCCATTTGAGCTTCTTTCCTTTTCTCCTCATAGACGATTGGGTTTGTGTCTTTACATGGAAACAGAAATGCAAATAGCATTAAAAATCTTGAAAATGTTAACCCAGTATAAAATTCAAATAAGTTCTTAATTTTTGACTTTGATACATCATCAGGAGTAAAAGGGGTATCCCTTTCTGTTTGACAGGAACCATCGGCGACCTCTGCTGCAACTTCCTTTACTTTCGAATCGATTTCTTTTCTTAGTCTTTCATTTTCTTCCTCAAGTTGCCGTATTCTTGATGCAAGGGAAAACATTTCCATGGATGAGAACACTGAAATATGAAATAAAACATATGATGGTTCAGGAATAAACAAATTGAAAGATTATATAACAAAATTATCATTTATCTAAAGAATGAATTTAATAATTAATAAATTGGGTTGGGGCAGTTTATGCTTTATAAATCATAAACTGCGTAAACTGTTCTAACCCATGTTATACCGTATAAAATGTGGTGTTACAGTAGCTATCAATTTCATTCCTTTATGTAATTTTCATTCATTTAGTTTGAGGAAAAAGATTAATTACCTTAAACAAATTTATCTAATCAAATGGCATACACAATCAGAATTGAATTATTTTAAAATAATACATATATTTTTTTTTTCTAGTTGAAAAACTACAAGACCATTCCGTCCATTGAAAATGGGACTTGTGGAAATACTGTTTTCCCATTGGACAGTGAGGTTCCATTTGAAATAAACACAAAATTTAAAGAACTTAATCAACTTTACAACACAACACAAGAGGAAGCTATAAGGATTGAAAGGTCAACTGTCGATCAGTCAAAGAATGAGGTTTGGTTTGCAGAAAGAAAGAAGCGTGTGACTGCATCCCAATTCCATAAAATATGCAAGAGGAAAAAAGATATAACAGACAGTTTTGTTTGCAATATATTTAATCAGAAATCTTTCAGTTCAGAGGCTACTTCTTATGGGAAATGTCATGAAAATGTTGCCAAACAAAAATTAATGGAGAAGCATAACAAAATTCACATTCACGACTGTGGGTTAGTTATAAATCCTTTGTTTTCATTCCTAGCTGCTACACCTGATGGTAAAATTTGTTTGGATGGTCAAACTGGAGTTTTAGAGATAAAATGTCCATTTTCTGCAAGAAACCTTCACATTTCAGAAGCTGTAGAATTGCCAAATTTTTGCCTACAGGCATCTGGTGACTCTTACCAATTGAAAAAAAATCATGATTATTTTTTCCAAATCCAGGGCCAATTAATGGTGACAGGTACATCTTTCTGTATATTTGTTGTCTATACTAAGAAAGATTTATTTATTGAAAAAATACCAAGAGATCCTAGTTTCATGAAAGAGATGTTTGACAAACTTGCTAACTTCTTCCTGGAGCATGCTTTGAGTAAAGTAGATTGTGCATCAGCTTGATAGTTCATCTCAATGTTGCATAAAGATTCATTGATTCTGATGTATGTATCAATTATAAAGAAATGATTTAAATCATTAAATTATCTTGATCAAAAATACTCCTCGTTTTCACTAGTAAAGATACCGGTAGTTAAGATGAAGCCTTTAAAGCAAAAGAGACTGTGCAGGCCTTATATATGTCTGCACTTAAACAAGATCTGACATTCTTAGGAAAGGACTTACATTCTTCTTCTGTTTGACAGGCAACATCATAATGTAAGGCAGAATCTCTGTGTGGAGGAGGTTCTAAACTGCCACTGCTGAAAATATTTCGAATTGTTCTGAAATCCATTTTATTACATAGGAAGTATCATGCACTCTTGAATACATCCATTTACTTTAAATATCATTTTTATTTTATTTCTGTGGGTTATTAGAAAGCAGAAATTGTTTAAACATATCTGTATGAATGTATTATCTTCATTAAATTAAGTTTGAATTCAATGGACTGTGCTCGATCAAACCTGGTAGAAAAGTCTGTCAACTCATTGGACTGATGAGACATGTATACTATTTTCCGTCTTGATCTCCTTAGTTCACCAGTTTGTGCATCACATGGATCTGGATAGTCATCAGATGGGCCATCTATTGAAATGAAATGCTGAAATTGAACAATTAAACTGATTTTAAAAATTATCTTTAGTAAGTCTCTATGCAACAAGAAACAAATCCATGGCAGCAGTTCTCTGATACACCTCTTTCTCTCTCTATAAAATTGTATTTACATGTATACCCCAATGGTATACATAATGTCAGATTAATAATTTTAATTATGCTACTTCATTTATTGTGTAATGGTTAGGGCCGTGGATATCGGCCTGGATAGCTCGGTAGGTAGAGCACCTGACTAGAGATACAGGGGTCCCGGGTTCGATTCCCGGTCCAGCCATACATTTTCTCCTTTCCTGTTACAGATTTGGTGCCGTGCCATGCCCTGGAATTGACAGGTGAAAGACCTGCCAGGGATGAGCCTGGGTTGGGGTCTTTGGAGGGCCAAAGACCTTTAAGGAGGGAGGAATGTAATGGTTAGGGCCGTGGATATCGGCCTGGATAGCTCAGTAGGTAGAGCACCTGACTAGAGATACAGGGGTCCCGGGTTCGATTCCCGGTCCAGCCATGCATTTTCTCCTTTCCTGTTACAATTGATTCACAAATATTTTAAACTTTGATAACTAAAAAAATCCCGCAAATCCGAGACTAAAACTTAGCATATGATAAAGATTGGTTATAGATCTGACACACAATATGCACTTGAATGCAGTCCTAAATGATCGATCATTGTTTACATTGCTGCACTGCTGATAAGGTGTGCACATCTGCACATGTCATTGTACGCATTTGATTTGTAACATTACATTATAATTTCTATGATATTTACCTTTGAACATATATACGTAGTCGTATGTTTCGTAATTTTGTCAACATTAAGCTGATCGTGAGGTCGTCTACACAGGGAAATCCATCGCAGGCATTTTTGTAAATCAGATTTCGGCTTGGGAAATGGAATGAATTTTGCTCCCATCAGCTTATCTTGATACCTGCTATCGGATTTACACGTCCCAAACGAACAGTGCTTCACCATGGCAAAGTAGCAAATAATCAACTTTTAAAAAAACAACGGATTATAAACATTTTTTCTGTAGCATCTCCGTAAACACAGCGCCATTTTGTCCGACTGATGTCCGACCTCCGCGCAGATGCAAATGACGCGATAATGCAGCGCTCTGATTGGTCAATATTCACACACCCACAAAAGAAATGGATCGGTGTATTACTTCATTGGATACCAAAAACTTTGACCCTTTGACCTTTGAGATTGAGTTACTTTAAAAAAGAAAATCTTGACCATAACTTTTAAAGTATTATGGCTCGTGCTTTCATACTTAACATATTTAATGCTTGTGAGAAGTTACTTCATTGGATACCAAGAATATTGACCCTTTGACGTTGGAGTTTGACCTACTTTTTAAAAAAATAACCTTGGTCATAACTTCTGACCGGTTAGAGCTAGGGCTTTCATACTCTATATAAGAATTCTATGTGGCAAGACCTTTCATGTTGATACGAATTACATTGACATTTTGGCCTTGACCTTAGAGATTTTTGTACTTCTTAAAAAAACTTTAATGTTTGCTTACTTTCAAATTTCACAATTGTTTTCCATTGAGAATACCTTACTTTTGGTACCTATTAATAAAATTTGCATTTAAGAAAAGTTTAATCTTTGCTATGTTGCCATACATCAGTGTTACACAAACACATCTTGTTTATTAGGTATTCATATGATGCATTCATTTACAGCAAATTGTTTAAAAAGAAATCATCTAATTTGAATGTAAATAATCATAATCCTACATGTCATTCATTGCTGCTGATTTATTTAAGATTGAAATTATTACCATGATCTTAAAAGGGTTTTCCTACCTACCTGTAGCTTGTACAAGCTAATAATTCGACATCGAACTCGACAACTTCTACCCTATTTACGGAGATTTAAAAAAATGAGTATAACCTGAAGATATGTCCCAGATCTCAGAGCTCTTCTCACCTACCTGTACCTTGTACCAGATTAGAATACAGTAAAATATTTTTCATAATCCTACCTGTCATTCATAGTTGCTGATTTATTTTATGCTGAAATTCTTACCCAGGTCTTGCTAGGCAACTCCTTACCTGTAATGGAGAATGAAAAGATAGGTTCAACATGAAGATGTGTCCCTTATCTCAGAGCTTTCTCTCACCTACCTGTACCTTGTACCAGATAAGAACGCGGCAAAATATTCGTCATATTCTTACCCGTGTTTCATAGATGCTGATTTATTTTATACCGACATTATTACCATGATCTTACTAGACCACTCCTTACCTTTTATAGAAATTCAAAAGAAAGGTTTAACATGAAGATATGTCCCTGATCTCAGAGCTTTCTCTCACCTACCTGTACCTTGTACCAGATAAGAATACAGCCAAAATATTTGTCATAATCCTACCTGTCATTCATCGTTGCTGATTTATTTAATGCTGAAATTCTTACCCAGGTCTTACTAGGCAACTCCTTACATGTTATGGAGATTCAAAAGATAGGTTTAACATGAAGATGTGTCCCTTATCTCAGAGCTTTCTCTCACCTACCTGTACCTTGTACCAGATAAGAATACGTCAAAATATTCGTCATATTCTTACCCGTCTTCCATAGATTCTGATTTATTTTCTACTGCAATTCTTACCCTGCTCTTACTAGGCAACACCTTATCTTTTATATAGACTCAAAAGATAGGTTTAACATGAAGATATGTCCCATATCTCAGAGCTCTTCTCACCTACCTGTACCTTGTACCGTATTAGAATACAGTAAAATATTTGTCATAATCCTACCTGTCATTCATACTTGCTGATTTATTTTATGCTGAAATTCTTACCCAGGTCGTACTAGACAACTCCTTACCTGTTATGGAGAATGAAAAGATAGGTTTAACATGAAAATATGTCCCTAATCTCAGAGATTTCTCTCACCTACCTGTACCTTGTATCAGATAAGAATACGACAAAATTTTCGTCGTATTCTAACCCGTGTTTCATAGATGCTGATTTATTTTATACTGACATTATCACCATGATCTTTTTAAACCACTCCTTACCTTTTATAGAGATTCAAGAGATACGTTTAACATGAAGATATGTCCCTGATCTCAGAGCTTTCTCTCACCTACCTGTACCTTGTATCAGATAAGAATATGGCAAAAAATTCGTCATATTCCTACCCGTCTTTCATAGTTGATGATCTATATTTTGTTGAAAATCTGACCCTGGTCTTCAAAGGTAACTCCTTACTTGTTATATAGATTCAAAAGGTAGGATTAACCTGAAGATATGTCCCTGATCTTAGAGCTTTCTCTCACTACCTGTACCTTGTACCAGATAAGAATACGACAAAATATTTGTCATATTCTTACCCGTCTTTCATAGATGCTGATTTATTTTATACTGAAATTCTTGTCCTGGTCTTACTAGGCAACTCCTTACCTGTTATGGAGATTCAAAAGATAGGTTTAACATGAAGATATGTTCCGGATCTCAGAGCTTTCTCTCACCTACCTGTACCTTGTATCAGATAAGAATAAAACAAAATATTTGTCATAATCTTACCCATCTTTCATAGATTCTGATTTATTTTATACTGAAATTCTTACCCTGCTCTTACTAGGCAACTCCTTACCTGTTATGGAGATTCAAAAGATAGGTTTAACATGAAGATATGTTCCTGATCTCAGAGCTTTCTCTCACCTACCTGTACCTTGTACCAGATAAGAATACGGCCGTTTATTCGTTTTATTCTTACCCGTCTTTCATAGATGCTGATTTATTTGATACCGAAATTCTTACCCTGGTCTTACTAGGCAACTCCTTACCTTTTATGGAGATTCAAAAGATAGGTTTAACATGAAGATATGTTCCTGATCTCAGAGCTTTCTCTCACCTACCTGTACCTTGTACCAGATAAGAATACGGCAAAAAATTCGTCATATTACTACCCGTCTTTCATAGTTGCTGATCTATAATTTGTTGAAAATCTGACCCTGGTCTTAAAACGTAACTCCTTACTTGTTATATAGATTCAGAAGGTAGGATTAACATGAAGATATGTCCCTGATCTCAGAGCTTTCTCTCACCTACCTGTACCTTGTACCAGTTAAGAATACGACAAAATATTCGTCATATTCCTACCTGTTTTTCATAGATGCTGATTTATTTTACACTGAAATTTTTACCCTGGTCTTACTAGGGAACTCCTTACCTGAATTTACCTTCTTATTTTTAATTGTAATAATTATCAATAAACTAAATAACTTATTTATTCATTAGGAAATTTATTTGTCTGTTTATTTATGAAAATATTTTTTTCTTCATTAATTAATTATTCTAATGAGTAATTAATTCTTCTAATTATTAATTAAGGTTTATTTATTATTTCTCATAATTAAGTAAATGTTTGATTTTCTTATTTATAATTTATTTATTTATCATATTTATTCCTTTTTTATTATTCTTTTAATATTAAAAAAAATAATTTATTTACTATTTTAATTACTGTAAATCGTTTTAATTCCACGGTGTTAAAATTTCACAATTTCTCAAAAAGTACCAATCGCGATGGTTTTATTTTTACGATGCAAGAAATAAATTCAGAATATCCTATAAGCATTTAAACGTTTCTAAAAACTAATTAAGACATTCACGATGGGTATAATATCGCTGAAAAATGATTAATCGCGAACATAGCGAAATCAAAACCATCGTGATTATTTGCCAATCTACAGTATCTTTTTATTTATTTTGTTATTTACTTATCTTTTGTTTTATTTATTTATTTATTCATATTTTTTTGTATAGACGGGTTCTGTTTATGTATTGCCGGGTTTATGTTCCCATCCCTAGGATTTGTATACCCATCACCAGGGTCTAAATACCCATCACCAGGGTCTGTATACCCATCAATAGGGTTGGTATACCAATCACCAGGGTCTATATAACCATCACCAGGGTCCATATTATCCATCACCAGGGTTTGTTTGCCCATCTCCAAGGTCTATATACCCATCGCCAGGGTATGTATTACCCAGCACCAGGGTCTATATACCCATCACCAGGATCTATATACACATCACCAGGGTCTATATACCCATTGCCAGGGTTTGTATTACCCATCACCATCACCATGGTCTATATACCTATCACCAGGGTTTGTATACCCCTCACCAGGGTCTATATACCTATTACCAGGATCTATATATCCATCACCAGGATCTATATACCCATCGACAGGGTCTGTATTACCCATCACTAGGGTCTATATACCCATCACCAGGGTTTATATACTCATAACCAGGGTTTTTATACCAATCACCAGGTTCTACATACCCATCATTAGGGTCTATAGTATCTATCACTAGGGTTTGTATAGCCATCACCAGAGTCTGTATACCCATCACCAGGGTCTTTATACCCATCACCAGGGTTTGTATACCACTTTACAGGTTCTATATACCCATCACTAGAGTCATTACCGCTATTATTACCAATCATCAAGGTTTGTATATTTATATTTAGGATAGGTATTACCTGTCACGTACCAGGGTATACAAATTATTACCAGTCTCTGTATATTGATCACTTTTCTCTATATTAAAAATGGTGTATCAGAAAGAGTCTGTGTTTGCAAGGATTTGGTTTTTAATATAACCAAGAGTATGTGCATCGCAGAGGGCCTGTCAAGGGTCTCGGTGTCAACAAGGGTCTATGACTCTATGTATCACAAAGGGTCTTTGTCACCAAGGGTCTATGTTTCATGAAAAGTATGTATATTATCAATGCCCTGTGTTACACTAACGGTATGTGTATCACCAAGGGACTGTGTCACGAAGGTTATGTGTATCACGAAGTTCTTGTTTGTATCACCTAGGGTCTATTTGTCACCAAGGGTCAATGTATTACCAAGAGTCTCTGTATTACCAAGGGTCTGTGTGTCACCAAGGGTCAATGTATCACCAAGGGTCTCTGTATTAGCAGGGGTCTATGTATCACCGAGGGTCTGTGTATCACCAAGATTCTGTTTATCCCCAATGGCCTTTTTATCACCAAGGGTCT